CCCGAGGGGGAGTTTCCTTGTCCAGGGCAGGCCTTCCTCCCCAGCCCTGAGCCCCTGCCTTCTGCTTCTCGGGGTGCCGCTGCGCCCAGTGCTTGGGATGCCCACTGTGTTCCTGACACAGCCCTGGGCTCCTCCAGATATACCTGCCCCTGCCCGTCCCGAAGCCCCAGCTTGTTGGTGTGTGAGTGGATACTGCTGCCTTGGCTGGCTCTGCCAACTGGTTCAACTCCTCTGCTCTCCCCCCTAGGGTCCCCCCACAGCCGGCCAGGCGTCCCCGCAGAGGAGAGCCCCGGGCGGAACCCAGGCGTCTGAGTCCCTGCCAAGCAGCCCCAGACCTGGGGGTGGACGAACAAGCGCCGGGAACTAGAGGCGCTCATGCCATCCTGCCCGTTCCCTCGTGGCCACGTTCTAGATGGCCCCGCGCTCCACCCCAGGTGCAGGGGCCAGGAGCTTTCAGCAGGTCCGCAGGAGGTGGGCTGCAGCCCTCCAGGCCAGCTTTTGGAAGAACTGTCTCTGTGCCCACCCCCGCCCCACCCACCCCGGTGGTGATGGTGCAGTGTGTTTCTACAGACTCCCGGCAGAGCCTCAGTGTGAGTGCCTGTGACTGCTGCCTGTATGTTGTCAGGCCTGACCGTCCAGTCCTCACGTGGCTTTTCATCTGCCGGCCTCTCCACGGGCAGCACTCCGAGCACCCAAGGGTTCAGATTGCAATTCCAGAGCACATTCCGTCTGCCAAACCTAGAAACGCGGCTCCCCACAGGTGTGCCCCTGGCTCGGGCTCCTTCCTGTGTAGATTGCTGCCCGGCCCGGCCCCAGCCGGGGAGAGCAGGCACTACAGAGCCTGGGCAGCACTCCGAGCACCCAAGGGTTCAGATCGCAATTCCAGAGCACATTCCGTCTGCCAAACCTAGAAACGCGGCTCCCCACAGGTGTGCCCCTGGCTCGGGCTCCTTCCTGTGGAGATTGCTGCCCGGCCCGGGGCCAGCCGGGGAGAGCAGGCACTACAGAGCCTGGGCCTGCCTTTCCGCAGCTCCGGCTCCTCCACTGCCGATAGAGTATTGTCAGTCGCTGTTCTTTCAGAGGTCACACGGAGCAGCAGCAGGTCCGGCTGGTGCAGCTAATCCCATTGACAACGTCTGGTCTCAGGTGATGGCCGCCAGGTGTCTGCTGGTCCTCTGAGCCCCTCACAGGCCTCGTGTGCAGGTGGCGCTGTGTGCACCGATGCACACAGAGCAGCGAGGGGGTCAGGTAGCTACCCCCATCACCTTTCTCAAAAAAAAAAAAAA